TGCATTTGGAAACGATCGCGCGAACCCTACATGACCTCGCTATAGTAGTTTCCATTTTTTCTTTTTCATTATCCCTATACTATACAACCCCAATACACCCTAAACCCTAAACCCTAAACCCTAATATATACTTATAGTATCAATGTTATTAATTAACCCTAAACCCTAATATATAATTATAGTATCAATATTATCCAACTGGGGTCTATAGGATGGTAGTCTCCAGCTTCGTAGGATTTACGGAACAGCATCAATGGCCACTGGCCGTTTGTTGTATATGAGTAGCGTTTTTTTGGGTTGTTAAATCCAGCAAGATTATGTTCCTTATATAAGACACTATACCCAAAGGGAGGATATAATCTTACCCTATATTGGGTACGATAGTATCCCCAAATAAAATACTACTCATATGAGCTGAAGCTTGCGAAGTCATTCATCCGGTGCATTCAGAAGCCCTGGATAAAGATCACCCTAAAGCCCCTAGTCTTAGCATGACAGCTCGGGTAATCAAATTTCCAATGTTTGCAGCATCAGATGTATACAGTCATTAGCGTTCACCTGTTAATACAAATACCCTGGTCGATATGCGTGTTTTATCTGGTAGTTTCCATTGGCAGGAGGAAACCCAATATCGACCGTGCTAAAACCCTTATATATCCTTATATAATTTGCCGACTCCCCAACCCCTCATATGTGAAACACCCACCCACCCCGTCCTCTCGAAGGGTATTCTTGGCTGCGCGAGAGAAAGACCACTGATCGGCACAGGATACGTCTTGACCTCGAAGGAGCAGATGTGGCGTTGACTGCACATCCATTCACGTAGGGTAGTTTCCCAAACCAAAATAGACCCCAAAATAATACATTATGGGGACCCCAAAAGGGGGCAAAGTATACAACGAGCTCACCCCAAGTCCTGGTGTAGATAGCATTGGCTTCGCTTCATCTTCTGAAACTACTAGTAAAGTCGTCGGTTCCCAGAATACTCTAGAACATCTTCCCAACTGCCGGAAACCCCAAGTAGCACGCATGCTCTGAATGTACCTCAGTACGGGATTCGCACATCACGATCTGACCTCAGCATGGTATGGGAGCTCCCACCTCTAAAAACTTCACAAGGACCTTGAGGTCTAGTGGGTTGGGTTCCCATGGATCGCTCACAACAGAACGATACCTGGACGAGCCCACAAGAAGCCCTTACAGAAGATCACCTACATTGGAGTGTGGCGCGAACTTGGTTCTACATCGTTCTATGTGCAGAAACAGGCCCTACCCACAAGTTGACCCCCAAGGAAACACCAACGCTAATCAGCCGCTAGTCCTCATCATTCGGGGCTGAACTGGGGGTTTCCCAAAATTATGGGTACCTTTTTGGGGGTCCCCATAAACGGGATGATCGTATTGGAAGCTCCAGGGTGGCGTACTCTACCCTAAACCCCAGAAACCTCACTTCTAAAAACGGTAGCCGCAAAACCCCGTACCTAAACCCTATAAACCACAAGTTATATAAGCTCCTCTCTAAACCCACACTTTGAGGGACCCCTCTCCAAAAAAGCCCGGTATTACCATGTCGTAACCCTTTCCAGGTACATAAGTTCCCTAAACCATACGTACCACACCTACACCCAACACTCCCAAAACCTTACACCCTAAACCCCAGACCCTGAACCATGAACCCCAAGCCCCCTAAAAACCGAACCCTCAATCCTAAACCCCAAACCCTAAACCCTAAATCCAAAACCACCAAAACCCCCAAACCCCAAAATCCCTACATCCTAGAGCCCTCATTTCCCAAACAAACTACAGCACATGAGCCATTGTCTAAACTCCTAATATCCCCCTTAATAAGCCCTATAGTACTCCCCTATATAACCCCTTTTA